TGGCCCAGCCCTGCCTCTGTAGCCTCCTCATGCCTGGGACACACACCTCCTCATGCCTGGGATTCCTCAGAACCCAGGCAAACCCCAAGGGTGGGTCACCAGGGGCTGGGCTAATGGGCCATGGCGGTTGACCTTGGGCTTGGGCCAGCTCTGAGTCTTAGCTACACAGTGTGGAATGCAAACTTCCTCACCAGATTCCTCTGGGAGCCTGGCTGGGGCACCTCAGGGTGGGGTGTGGAGCTGCAAGGGGTGAGGGAGGTGACCCTGAGTCAGAGTTAGAGCCGGGCACGGTTGGGGGTACTGCTGGAGGCTGGGGGAGCAGGGGCATGGGCCCCCAGAGTGAGAGCCACAGGGAAAACCCTCCAGGCACCCAAGTCCCCAGCTGGGTGAAGCCCGGCCAGTTGTTTCCTGGCTCTGGAGGGCAGCGGGCGGGGGAGGGAAGAGGGTTCCCCACAAAGCAGCTTCTCTGAAGTTGGGAACCAGTGAGCATTTAAAAAAGGGCTTAATTACTTCCCCACCCTGGCCTCCACCCTCTGCTACAGTTCATAGCCCTTCCTGGAGAACAGAGAATTCCACCAATGAGGCCGCCCTCCTCTGGACCTGCCTGCCATCCCAGAACCGTTCTTAGACCTGGGCTACCAAGGCCCTGCCTAGACTGAGCTACAGAGGTCCCTGCTCTGGTTCTGTGCAAGGCAAGGAGTCCATGGGGTCAAGGGAACATGCCCTCAGAACCCACCCACCTCTCTTCGTCACCCCGCTCCAGACACCAAGACCTCTAGAATCCCCCACTTAAATGACCTTGAGTCCATTTCAAGAGTTTCTTTCCCAATCAGTCCATCTAAGGGCAGGGGGCGCACATTCCTGAGTCCACGGGGTGGACAAGGGGTGGCTATTTGTTCGTAAGGATGGGGGTGTGGATGGAGCTTTGGAGGTTCAGGCTGAGGCCCTCACTGTGAGGGAAGGAGCCAGGCAGGTAGAGGAGGGGTGGCCACAGTGGGGATGGGGGCTCCATCTGTCCACTGGAGGAGTCAGAGACTCAACGAGGGACATGGGATCTGCTGACCCCTGGGAACCTTCAACAGAGACAGCACAGCACAGCAGGGAGAAAAAAACACCAAAACCCTGGACAGCGGACAGACCTAGGCTTGAATCAGGACCAATCACCTCAACAGCTGTATGCAGGCTTCTGACCCCCACCCACCGCCACCCGACAGCCCTTCCAGCTAACGGCAGTCAGCCACATGAATCAATCAAAAGCCAATAACGTTGAACTTTTCCCTTGTTCTTCACCCTGGTGCTCACTCAGGCATCTCTCACCTGTGTGGCCCGCTGTTGGCTATGACCGAGTACCCCTAATAAACTCCTTTCTAGTCCCATAAAAAAAAATAGCCAATAACGACTACCCTTCCCGGCTCAGCCTAAGGAGCTCAAACCCCAACCCCAAAGGGAGCCTGGGCCTTGAGCTCAGAGATGAGCTCCTGCGGTGGAGGGTGGAGTGGAAAAGTGGAAAGGAGAAATCCAGCTGACTCGGCTGCATCTTGGAGCTTCCAGGGGGCTGAGGAATTTGACAGCGGGGCCCAGAACAGGCAGGCTTCCTTCCCGGAGCCCAGCCTGACACCTCCCCAGGCACAGCCAGGCCCGCCTGACTCAGAGGGTGGAGTGACCCGGGGAGCTCTCACCGCCCGGGGCACCACTGGGGACCTGTCTGGCCAGTTTCCCCATATTTGCCACATTGGCATTTAATTTTTAATTCCTCATATGCATCACCCTGGAGATGGTTTGATTCAGACTAGGTAGGGCAAGAGGCAGCCCCAGAGAGAAATAAATCTTCCCACCGGCAGCTGTTCCATCAGCTCAGCTAGAAAGCCAGGGACAGGCTGGAGCTGGAGCTGTGGGTCGGGCTTCCCCTTGGAGGCAGAAGGAAGTGGGGAGAAAGGATCTTTTCCCCACTCAGCCCAGGCCCACAGAGGTGTAGACAGGACTGGATTGGGAGGAGACCTGGGCTTGCGTCCTGTCTCCACTGGTATTGAGCCATGTGGCCTGGGCTGGACCATCCCCTCCCTGGGCCTCCGTTTTCTCATCCTGATGAGCATGAGGTCCCTTTGGCTCTGAAGTTTGAAATTCTGATCCAGTTCCTCAGAGCTCTCGGTGCAGAAAGTGGGGTGGCCCTGGTGGCTGGTTGGAGCTCCATCCTTTTCGGGGGGGGTCTGGCCTTTCTGGAGGCCTCTAGGGAGCTAACCCCACCTCTGTGTTATTTTAACACAGAAAGTCGCAGCCGGGGAGACCCTAGGGAACCATCCTGTGTGACCCCCACTGATGGGTAAGGAGCCAGAGGCCCCCAGAGAGGAAGGGCCTGGCCCTCAGCGGCAGTCAGGACTGGTGCCAGTTACCTGAAGACCAATCAAGATCCCATCCTGGTCACTGAGGGACCCCAAGGTCCTTTTCATAATTGGCCTTTGGCTGCTGGCTGCCTGAGAAAGTATTTCTTCGTCCTCTGTATTTTCACCCCAGAGTGAGGAAGCTCCAGGAAGGGGGCGCTGCCCTCCTCAGCTTCATCTTGCCCTCCCCTCTCCCAGCTGTCCCTCTGCAGGCTCCTGTGAGCACTGCCTGCAACAACGCTGCCCTCAGAAGACAGCTCAGGCCCAGGCAAAGCTCAAGGAAGAGCATGGGCCTGTCACCTGGCTTCTTGGGCATCGCTGACTTGAGCCTCCCCTGCTCCAGGGTGGCCTGGCCTGGGAGGTGCCCTCTGAGTGTGGGAAGGGAGGACGGGGAGGGGCGAGGCCCAGCTGGTTAGGACAGTGTCGGGCAGGGCCTGGGCCGCCGCCCCGGCTCCTCTCCTACCCTGACTCGGTGGGGCTGTGGGGCAGGGTGTGCACATGTGTGTCTGTGTGTGAACCCGCACCCACACACGGTTCTGTCCTGCCTCTTATTCTCCCGGCCTCCTGCTCCAGCTCAAAGAAATAAAGGCCCAGCCCAGAGCCTAAAGGAGAGGAGGCAGATTCCCCTCAACCCAGGAGCAGGTGACGAAGGATGCTGGGGCTACTCTGTATCTTATCACCTGAGTCAGAAGCAAAACATGTGACTGGGATACGGGCCATGAGGTCCAGAGTTCTTAATCTTCAGGTGCATCATACGTGGGCTTCCAGGGGCCTGAGATCCCTTATAAACAAAACTGTGTGTATGTGGCCCATAGCTTCATTATGGTCTCAAAGGGGTCTATGAGCCAAAAGAGGCAAGAGACCTGGTGCCCAGCAAGCGCTGGCTGGACAGGGGTCAGAGAGGCAGACCCGGGAGATGCAGGTGGTTCTGCAGGCTGGTGCTAGGAGGGAAGGAAAAAGCTTCTGGGTCATGAGTTGGGGGGAAGGTAGGACGGCATGAATACAACGTGGACCCCAGAGCCTGGCTACAAATCCCAGCTCTGCCTCTTACGAGCTGCCTGTCATTAAGCAAGTTATGTCCCCATCCCGTGCTTCAGTTTCTCCTCCTGTGAAATGGGGCTTCACAGCAGCATCTTCCCAAGAGGGCAGCTCCACTAACTCTGTTAACACGCGGGGCACTTGGGATGGTGCCTGACACACAGTAAGTGCCCCACAGCGTTAGCCATGATCACACGGCGGTGCCGCTGGCTAGGGCCACGCAAGCTGCCCCACCCGCCTTTGCCTGTTCATAGAGTGACTTTCCCTTTCTGGATTCAGTTCCTGCCAATGTCAAACGAGACTGGTGTGGACCCAGCGAGGCCCCTTTCATTTGTGGGTTCAAGGTGAGTTCACTTCCTTGGGGGAAGACCCCATCTCCTGGGACTGAGTGTGAGGCTTGCTCGGAGGGTCTGCTCCCAATCCAGTACCAGCCAGCCAAGCCCACTCCAGGGGCCCCTGAGTCTTCTGTGGAGCCTGCCTGGGGTCTGCGCAGCCCCAGGTCGTGCTGTGGCCCAGACCAGATCAAACCAGAGGGCTCAAACTTCTGGAGAGGAGGGTGGAAAGACTGGACCCACACCGAATACTGAAGGGGCCCAAAGTGGGTGGAGGCAGGGATACAGGATGCGGGCCAATCAGAACAAACTCAGCTCTGCCTCATTAGCCCTTGTGTTAACCCTTTCGTTGTTGGTGTAGATCTGAAGGAGGAGCCAGGACAGAGTCCCACAAGGGGCAACAGCCACTTACTTCAATATTTTAACAGCCAGAACAGGTACAGGTGTGTCGGCCCAGGGCGCCCACCACTGTAATTCTGAGCATGTGTGTTGGGGGTGGATGAAGGGAGAGAATCAAATTCACCTCCAACGATGAAAAAAAATCTCAAAATTTTTTCACCTGCGTGTATGGGTGCAGCAACCCTGTAACAGTTTATGCGTCTCTGGAAATAAGGCTGGCGGTTGACCCACTCGCTTTCTACCTTTTTTGTTGTTGCTGTTGTACTTTCTCTATTTGTCTGTGATGTTCATGAATTGCTTTTGTAAGCAGAAAAGGAATTACTTGAAGTGATATTCTCAGAGGTCTGTGTGCTCAGCCCTCCACGCACAGACCTTGGGGATGCAGCAGGGAGGGTTAGGACTCAGTCCCTCCATCCAGAATCTTGGGGTCTGGTTGGTGAGGTTGGACAAACCAGAAAAAATTGGTGATGGAGAGAGAGAGGTGGCTGTGCCAACCAGGGCCGGGCAGAACCTGCAGGTGCCTAGGGCCAAGGCGTGGGGTGCCATGAGGTCTAGTGGGCTGCTGAGAATGCAGAGCCGGGTTAGGTGTCTTGTCAGTCAAGGCGGAACAGATCCTCATGGAGGCATGGGATGCTATGACCTCAGTGACAGTATTGTCCCAACCAGGATCCAGGTCTCACAGATAGTAGTGAGTCTAGAATTTATGGGGCTGACTGTTCAAGCTCTAAATCTGAGCCATCTCATACAGTAACCACTGGCCACACTGGCTACTGAAACCTTGAAATGTCACTAGTCAGAAGTGGGACGTGCGTGCTCTAAGTGTAGCACACTGGATTTTGAAGACTTAGTATGAAAGAAAGAATGTAAAACATGTCACTAGTATATTCTACACTGATTAAATGTCAAAATGATCATCTTTGGACTAATTTTACCATTGCTTTTTAATGTAGCTACTGGAAATTTTAAAATTACACCAGGCGTGCATTATATTTCTGTTGGACGGCACTGGTCTAGACTGTCCCAGAAAACCCAGGAACCCTCATCACGGTAAATAGAACCAGTCACACGCACAGCAGTTGTCTTTGAGTCTCTTTCCCTTGTCAGAGAACAAAAGCCCAACCACAGGCGCCAGAAGGGAGCAAATTGGTCCGAAATGACCTTCTCCTAATGGTCACTGCTGTTTGTCCTTCGAGACAGTTCAGGTGTCACCTCTTCCAGGAAGCCCTCCTTGACCACACCCTGTGGCTGGATCGGCTGTCCCTACTCTGTCCTATGTTCTAACAGTCTATTTACTGATTCATCCTCTACACTAGACAGGGAGTTCCTTGAGCAATGCTGGCTCAGTCATCCCTGAATCCCACAATCCAACACAGGGCCTGGCATGGAGCAGACAGCCATCAAAGATTGTGGAGTGTGAATTCTGCTGAGCTGGAGGTACCCGCCGCTGGTTGCCTCTGCGCACAAGTTCCCCACAATCTCTCCTTAAGTTTCAACTTGGAGGAGGTACACTCCTAATCCCAGCCTTCCTACCGTGAGCTTCAGCCCCGCCTCCTCCCAGTAGCCACCTTGGGTTGGCATCAGAAAGTAGGGGAACGGACAGAGGGTGAGGCTGATGTCCACTCGGGCCAGGGCAGGTGGGACTGCCTCCTCTGTGGCAGCTGAGGTGACCCGTCCAGAGCAGACCCTCAGACCTCAGGGCAGAACCGTACTCACCAAGGGAAGAAAAGTCAGTAGGGGTCGGACTCTGGGCCGAGCTTTCAGCGTGGCGGTTCCTGACTCACTCACTGTGTCAAATCGGTTGTCGCCAAAATAGATCCCATCTAGAGGGGAAAAGTGAGGGGAGACCATGAGCTGGAGATCAAAGACATGGGGGCCAACTGAGTTTAATCTGCCCTGCAGTTCCCAGTAGGTAAACCCAGACCCTGCTGTAGCCTGTTTGAGTCAGGCCAGTGCCTCTTAAGTGACAATTTCCTACAGGAAGAGTGTGTGCTAATGGGGCCAACTGAAGCCGGAGTGGGAAGGGCTCCAGGGTGGTTTCTTGGGGTTTCCTGCAGTGTTCCTGGGGCTTTCAGACCCTCACAGCCCTCTCTCTCCTGATCCACCCCCTTCAGGTCCTGAGCCTTCGCTCCTACAAGTCCCTCCTTTGGGGGCCCTGAGAGCCGAGCCAAGGCCCCAGCTAGAGCTTATCTCTGAGAGAGGGAGGAAAACAGGGTGGCTTTTCTCTCAAGTGTTTAAATTTCTAATCTGGAACAAGCAGAGCAATGAGGCTGCCCAGTGTCCAGCACCAACTCCTGGACTCCCCTAACCTGAGATTTCCTTAGCCCCTAAACCATCAATGGTTGGGACCAGGGCTCCATTTGATGCATCCTTGAGGACAGAACAGAAAGAATAGGACAGTAGGGTCCCCTGACTTAGTACATGTCCCAGCTCTGCCACTGACTGGCTGGGTCACTTAACCTCTCTGAGCCTCAGTTTTCCCATCTGTACAATGGAAGTGATGCCAGCCTTCTAGGACGCTTGTGAAGAGTTAAGTGCGGCCTGCACATAGCTAAGTACGCAGCAGATATGGCCCCCTGTCCCCTGTAGGAAGATGACACACAATCTTTCTCTTCCTCCAGCAGATGGGCTTGTGCTCTGGGAGTTTCTACCATAGAGGGAGGGTGTGAGGAGCCACTCACATTTTATCAACCCATCTGTCTCACAACCCTTAACACACACATGATGAGAATTTCACAAGTTCACACTGTCACCTCCTAGGGGCAGGGGTCACTGCTGACTTCCTACTATGCAGGTCAGGAGCAAGAAGGGCTTTTGTCATCTATTGGGGCCCGAGGGACTCCCTCTTCCTCTGTAGCCAGAGGGAAAAGAAGAGAAAGGTCAAAATTCCAACTAAGCAGAATCCTACTACCTGAAACAGGGAATGAATCATTATGACCTTTCCTCTTGCACGTGACTTTGGGAGAAAATTGCAAGAAAGCCAATGATCCATTCAGTCAAAAGAGACCGGGCTTGTCAGAGAGGTCCTGGGATCAGAACACATTCACCCCCCAATTCCTAGCCCTCCAGCCGTGGCCCTCTATGTGAGAATCTGGGTCTTGAATGTGACATGGAGGCTCCTGGGGGCACCCCAGAAATAGGACACAGAGTCCTTTGTGTGCTGCCCTACCACCAGAGTTAGCTGGTCCATTCAAGACTCTCCAACTCTCAAAGAGGAAAAATGGCAAGTTTTCCGCGCTCCACACGTCCCTGGAAATCCCAGTTCCCAGCACTGCCCTGTCCCATACACTCTGGGCAAACGTGATTCCTCAGTCCTGGCTGCCAGGCTCCAGGCCTGAAGCTGGAGGTGCCAGGGGGTAGGTGGGGCAAGGAGAGGGCGCAGACTTAACCCAGTCAGAAACAACAAAAGTAGAGATAACCAGACACTCCCAACAGCCCACCCAATTCTCACTGGCTTCTAAGAGTCTGTGTGTTGACACCAGGATTTCCTGGGACATTCCCTAGATAGTGCTGTGTTGACACCAAGGTCCTAGATCTGACATGATATGGCAGCCAGGCCCTGAATAAGACTGGGGGTGGGTAGGGGGTTAACACAGGCACGCCCCTAGGCTGGCCCTCCCTCTCATTACTCCATTTACTCTCTGCTCCAGTGTTGGGGTCTAGGGAGCATCTTTTCTGCAGCTGAGTTATCACACTATTAATGGCCACTACTATTGTTATGCTAGGAGTTTTAGAAGCAATCTGGCAAGTTGATCATTATAATAGTAACAATAATGTAATAAGAGGCAAGATGTCTTGGACAGTTGTAACATGCCAGGCACCAGTCTGAGCATCTTCTACACTATTAATTCATTTCATTAATAGCCCCATGCCATTGTACGACCATCATCCTGTTTTACAGATGAGCAAACTGAGGCACAGGGAGAGGTCTAATAACTTGCCCAAAGCCTTAAAGTAAGCGGCAAAGCTGGAGTCTCCATTCTAGGGCTGACCTCTGAACCACTCTGTGCCCTGCTCCCAAAGTGGGGAATTCTAATCTCACCATTTAAGGATGGGAATGGGAGATGGGGATGTGAGGGGTGCTATTTGAGGGTAAGGGCAGCTTGGCTGGAGCCAAGAAGCAGCGCTGGAGAGGCGGGGGGGCGGTGAAGCACACACCCGAGGCCCCCGCGGGGTAGGGCAGGGCCAGATTGGAGCCGGGGGCCATCTAACCCCAGCGCAGACACTCTTCATACCTCCTGGATTCCATGCCTCAGCCCTGATTCTGAGGCACTGTTCTCTTTTGGTCTGTGGCGATTTTGAGCAGGGCAGCCCATTCTAAGAATGCGATCATTCTCTGGAACCCTCTGGAAGGGGAGTGGCTGCGGCTGAGGCAGGGGTGGAAGGCTCAGGTGGCTCCTTCCCCACGGGAGCACCTCTTGGAAATCCAGTTTGAGTTCCTAGTTCAAAGAGGTGTGGCTGAGAGTCAGGGAAGGAAATGTGACGAGGGAAACAGAGTCAACGCGGTGTGATGGGAGAAAGATGCGCCCAGCCATGGCTGGCTGGGCAGATGGGCGAGGCCCCAGCCAGGGAGGGCAGGCAGCCCTCGAAGCTGGCAAAGGCGGGGGAACAGGTTCTCCCCTAGAACCTCCAGAAAGGAACAATGTGTTGCTGCTGACACTTTAATTTTAGCCCAGTGAGATCAGTGTCAGACTTCTGACCTACAGAGCTGAAAAGATCATACATGTATGTTACTTCAAGCAAAAAAAAAAGGAGGTGTGGCCAGAACCCAGGCTCAGTTCCCAGGGCATCAAGGCATACCAGCAGGTGAGGTGAGTGTGGCCACCACCATCAACTAGGTCCTCCAAAGGTTTCAGGTCAGGAAAGCTGGGGCTTTCCAACCTTCTCAAGCTCAAGGTCCAAAACTAAAGAGACAGACAATACAATCCAACTTTGGGGATATTTCCATGGAAGTAAATGAACTCTGCTGGATCAGTGTCAGGGACACTAGAACAGGCCTTCCTGGAAAGCAGCCCCCTCCTCAATTGAGGAGATATAGGAGGGCCTGGCTGCCTCTTGAGGAAGGAAGGGACAGTGAGGAGGTGAAGCAGGAGACAGAGAGGAGGCTGGACAACTTGCTCTCTGGGGTCACAAAGAGACTACTCAGTCGGAATACAGGCCCTATCCTAGCAACTTGTCCCCCTGAAATTCGGACACTCCCTTTGTATCTGCCTTTTCGCTTGAGCCTTTTCCCACTGCAAGAGTCCCTGGAGACCTGGGAGGTCTTGAGCAATTACACAGACCAGAGAGGCAGCTGAGGAACATACAGGTGGGATTCAGAAGGCAGGAAAGTGGAGAGAGCCACTGTGGACCCAGAAGCTTCCAGAGAAAGGAGGTACCTTTGGGAGAACTGGAAACAGATTCTGAGCTGAGCCTGAGGCCCAGGTGGACCACAGTCCCACCAAGATACAAACTCAAGACCATGGCAAGTTCATCAAAAACAAAACAAAACAAAAAACAGCAGTAAAATAGGAGGAAATCTAGGTCTGTCTCCATTTACCCAAACCTCATCATTGAAACAGTCCCAGTTTCCCCCCAAATGAAATCCTTTTGACAGGACTATGCACAGGATTCCTTTACATTTCTCCCTCATATATTGACAGGCAAGGAAGGCAACTTTGCTTTCATGTACATAAATGCCATCTAATATCCAAAAACCTGGCTGGAAGATAATTCCTGGTGCCACACCTGTTTCAGCAGGAGAGGTCCACCTCAGATTTCAGCCTGGGATGACAGCTCCCCTCCTCCATGGCTCCCTCAGAACCTGACCCCCCTATTGGCCTGAGGTGTATTTGCATTGTGGCTGAGGCTGCCTGGACTAGGAGGAGGCCAAGGGCAAGGCCTGGTGGCCAGAGACAGCAGGCCAGTCGCAGCTCCTAGCTGGGAGGGAAGGCTGGATGGTGTGGGGTCAAGGCAGAGGTTTAGAGCCCAACTGAACTTGGGTTCCAGTTTCTGCTCCATCATTTATTAACTGTGGGGCCTTGGGGTGTGTTACCACATCTCTCTGATGCGGTTTCCTCATCGCTGTAAATGTCACCAGTGAGTGGGATAGTGTGAAGCTGAATGAGATAAAGTGGGCAGCAGGTAGCATCAAGCAGATAATTTGCGGTCATTAATTGGGAGGACTACTTATCATCATCACCACTATCACCATCACCACTACCACCACCGTCACCGTCACCACCACCACTGTCACCACTACCACCATCACCACCACAATCATCACCACTACCACCACCACCACCATCACCACCATCACCACTGTCACCACTACCACCACCACCATCACATCATCACCATCACCACTGTCACCACCATCATCATCATCGTTGCATACTCTATGCCCACCCTACCTTGCTCCACCAAGGACCTGGGCTCTGAGCTTGAATCAGGTTGTATCCATGATAAATTATGGGTGAACATCATAATTTGGCCTTCCTGGGAAGCAGCCCCCTCCACAATTGAGAAGATAAAGGAGAGCCCAGCTGCCTCTTGAGGAAGGAAGGGACAGTAAGGAGGTGAAGTGGGTGACAGAGAGGAGGCTGGACAACTCTACCCAAGGGGGAGAGCCACCAGGAGGCAGGTGGTCCTTTCCTCTTGTCGGGGAGAATTCTGAGTCTGGACCCATGGGGCTGCCCTCTTTGCCGATGGGAGATTGAGGCCCGGATGCATGGGGCTGGTCCAAGGTCTCAGAGCAGCGGTGGTGCCAGGGCACTAACGGGGCCCTCTACATGCAGTGTTGGACTCTGGGCATAAATAATAGGGTGCATTACACATGGCATGTGGCTCACTGCCCCTCCCCGAACAGGCTGACATGGTTCTCTCGG